TATTAAGAGGCCAATTAGGTTAATTTAGTTAATTAAATTAAAAAGACCCAAGGAGAGATAAACGGGTGGAGAAATGAGTAGGGAAATAAAATCCAATTCTCAATGAAAATCAACCAATTTCAAAATAGTTTGGTTCTTAACTACTTGTAATTGATGCTAGATCTAATTAGACTCTGTAAAAAAATGATTTAGGGAAAAAAGAGGATCCTTTCTTCCTCCTTCCTCCATGTGATGTTTGCCAATGTCCTTCTAGTCCTTTCTTGACTTTTGGTGTCATTTTTTAATTTAAATTTGATTTCTCTTTGCTTCTGAATTTACTTTCACGACCCATTTAGGTGATAGCTAGATGAATCGAGGAAGTGACAAATTTCTAGGGCTTTAATTTGTGATTATTTTTGAATATGTTTGTGTACTTGTCCCTAGTGTCAATGGAGAAAAATCCTGATGTTCAGAATGCTTTATGCTTGATTCTTGATGTTTTTGAGTTCAGACTGGTTTCATTTTCATTTATGAACTGATTGAATCATTTTACATTTTGAATTCATTTGTCTACCTCATTCCTATAATTAAAGGAGTTTTTTTTCTAGATCCATTCTGATTTCGTTTTCTTAATGTTTCAATTGATAAAACAATTTTCAAGTCATTTTTGAATCTTAATCTTCTTGTTTTTTGCATTTGATTTTGTACAGCTTTCCTAAACACATCGTTCAATTCTCCATGAGTGGGTTCCCCTATTGGTGGAGCCATTTCTCTCTCTTCCCTTGTTCTCTCTTCATTGTTGTCTCTTCTCTTTGCTTTCTCTCTATTCACGATCTCTCTTTTTCTTTGTTCTCTCTTTTCATGCTCTCCTGTCCTCTCTCTCTCTCCTCCAATATTCTCTTGTGATCTGTAGATTATACTTTTACTTTAAATGTTTCTTGCAGGTTCAAGCTAAAACTAACACATATCAACGATCGGTTGGGTGCAAAACATCTATTCTACTCCCTATCTCCTTTATTTCTTTTATTTTTTTTACTTGGATTTAAATCTTTTTAGATAACACAAGAAATTATGTTCAGTATTTGTGTTCTTCTTTGAGGAATTGACCTAAACTCATTACAATTACTTGATTTAGATTTATGTTGATTCAGTTTTGTAAATATGAAATTTGACATCTCTTAATATAACAACTAAGAGGTGATCAATCATGTTCAACATTTTCTAGTCGTTCTCGCCTAAAAATATCTTCAGAATGTTCTTCCTCATTATAATCAATTAAGATGTTGGGATTAGGTGCTGAATGTCTGTTGGAAGTAGAGCACCTATAAGGAGTCTTAGAATCTCTAAAAAAATAACAAAAAGATTAGTTTGGGAACTAGCCATTATTTATTCAATAGGATGACTTATACTTGAAATACACATTCATAACTTCGTGCATACATTCACAAGAATGAAATGAAATATTGATTCATGGATAACACAATGATAATGTTAAATCTCCAAAAGTTACTTCAAGAAATATAACTGAGGCTCATGGTTTAAATCTCATAGTTGTGATTAATTTACCACACCAAATCATTATTTTTTTACTACTATAAAAAATGTAAATAATACTGAACATTTCACTTGGCAAAAAGTAATGATTTGCAGATTGGAATTTACTCACTTGTAGGTTGCAAAAATTAGTACTGGATATCAAATTAATACTGGTCAATATTAATGTTTGAATACGAAAGTACTAGATGACATTGATTTGAATTTTTTCCTTCCGATCATTCTTGATGAAGATTTAATTGATTGAATGTGAGCTCTTTAAATGGCCGTTTATAATTTTTTCATAACTTTTTAATATTAATTGAAAAATGACTTCGAGATATCATAAGTTTCCAAGTAATGATACTTTTTATTGAAATCATGATCCATTGTGTTCTTACTTCGTATTCTCATTTTCTTTTTGAGGTGTTTGGGATTTAATTCGAATGTGAAATCATTACTTTATTAAAAAATGTGTTTATGACTATTCTTCATGATAAATGATTCTTATTAGTGATGTTAGAATTGTAAGCTTTGGATATGTGTTAATACTTGATTATTACATTTGTTAGGTTATTTCCAGAATATATTTGAATCCTTAAAAGGGCATGTTTTGTTATTTTTTATTGTTCACATTGAAAACTAATTTAAAAAATTTAATGTTGACTAATGGTGGACAACACGATAAAAGGTAAGTTTTCAAGGCTTGAGTCTAATTTATAGACAGAAGTTGGTGTATAGGAGAAAATATCTAAGGTTCAAATTTGATCCCCAGAAATGAAGGCATTGAAAAATCTATGCCATGAAGAGTGAGGCAGGAAATCAGCAATGAGGATATGGCTTCACTATTGGTACTTGAAATAAAGATTAACATTTGATAAAAAATATTTCAGATTACTCCCAACATCAGCTGGGCTCCATGGCTTTGTTTTAGATTGCTCCCAACATCAGCTGTCTCACGGACGAGCAATACTACGATAAGGAGGCGTCATCATCTCTTGTGCTGGTCTTAGACATGAGTTATCTCCTGGGTCTGGTGTTCTCCACGAAAGTCGCGGGTTTTCCTAGGAGAAGTGGGGCAATTCAGTTCTCCATGCACCACATGGCGGCCGCCGATGGTAAGGCCCTTTGGAAGCTCCAGGGACCCCGTAGTTACTCCATGCACCCGATTGGAAGAGAGAGATTTCCTGGAGTATTATGAGAACTTTCGCTTTCAACCGTAAGCTCTGTGTGTAGGAAAAAGAGGATTGAAATATGGAGAGAATGTGCAGTTTTGGGGGAGAAGATGACTAAAAAGGAAAGGGGAGAGAGGAGGTGTTCTAAAATTTTGAAAGTCATGAAGCGATTAGGACCACAGAGATAGAATATTTAAATTGGATGAGAAAAGGACTTAAAGTGGACCGTTATTTTTTAGTCTAACCACATTAAAAAGGAGAGCAATAAATGCTTTATTCAGACGATGAGGCCTTTTCCTTCTACTTTTGACTTTTGCATTCAATGCCAACACTAAGTAAAATGTCTAAAATGTCTAACACTTAATAACCCACAAAATTTAAGAAACTTATAAGTCAATAACCTTATAAATTTATTTGAATATGGATTATTTTTTGAGGAAAAATTCCCCTTTAATGAAATTAGCAGCAACTAGGTCTCAAATAAATTCATGATGAATTTCAATATGCTTTGTTGTTCAATGAGATATCAGGTTCTTCGTCATAGATATATTTGATTCGTTGTAGCAATAAATCTCCACTGGTGTTGATTGTGATAAGTTGGTTTCTTTTAAAATATTCTACATCTATATTACTTACTATGATGCCACTAATTGAACCAGATACTTCGTTTTAGAGGATGGATGATAATATCGTACATTTTTATTTTTTAAAAGTCTACCAGGTCACACCTAATAAGTCCATATTGAAAAAAAATCAACTAATATCTTTTTCTATCATCTATATAACTTAATTACTATTAGTAAGATCAAAAAGTTTAAATTTGAAAAAATATTTATATAGAATTCTACAATTGGTGTCCCCTTGAATATACAAAAGAATTTATTTTGATGATCCATAATGACAAATCAATAGAGAATGCATAAACATTGAAATTATATTTGGTCGATAATAAAACACATCATATATAAGTCAAAAGTTAGTTTTCCTACTTTTTCTTCATTTTGAGTTTGTTTAAATACATTTAAATATCTTTTAAGGTGACATCATAGTGGAACTGTCTTTTTAGGAGTCTCTTAACTTAATGGAAACTTGGTCCACTTAAGGAGCCCACACATTGTAGTCTCAAAGGCATCATTCAACATTCTAAAGAATTTCTCTCTTTTTGAGGTTGTTATCATTCTACTTGTGGATTAAGCCACCTCTCTTGTGAATTCATGGGATCCCTTTGACCTAGCGGGGTCAAGATTGTCCTTGTAGAGTCAAGGATCTAAATTTCTTAAATTCTTTGATTCAAGGATGAAATCTCAGTTGTTTCACTAGACACCTAATTATTATATGGGTTTTTACCAAAATCATGCGCGAAGAATAAAATTTATATTTTTCTGGGTACAAACTTAGATGGGGCCAAACCTCCAAACTGAGTTAATTTTTATGTGGGGCAAGTGGAAAGGAATAGCATTTTATACTTTTAAAAGCGGACGGACCAGTCCAGCCAGTAAACACAATATTCCTCTGTTCATCCCACCTCGCCGAACCTTATTAGAGTGTGGATATTTTGCTCACAATCCCTGAGAACCGAGAGTTTTGCCAGCATAGCCTCCTCCTCCTGCGCAATTGGAGAGAACCAGAGACCGATGTCGACCAGCCTTGTCGAATGGCGGCGGTGGGGCCGGGGGCGGCGCTCTGTCTCTGGGTTGTTCTCTTCGTCCTTTCCAGGGGGGAAGGGAAGCGGACAAGGAACCTGAGGGGTGGGGAGGGGGTAGATGGAGAGGGCTGGAAAGAAGAGCTCCGGTGGGTATGGACGGCTGGTCGACTCTGCCATCGATGCCTGAGAGGTACCCTCCCCCCTCCCTCCCATGGAAGAAGCCCACTCAGCCACGGTTCCTGCCAGCGAGCTTTGGGGCGGAGATCCCTAGTCCCCACCCATGTGTGCTGCGTTGCGGCGAGATGGTGTGATGATGCTGTAATTGCCCGTTCTCTCTCTCTCTCTCTCTCTCTCTCTCTCTCTCTCTCTCTCTCACTCTCGCTCCCTCGTCATCGTCTTCCTCCTGTTGATTCAGACGTCCGCTACATACAGAGTGGAAATAGTTTTAAAATCCGACGATCACGCTTATCTCATCTTCCTTTTGTGGGCATGGTCTCCACACACAATTGCCAGCTCATTGGACCTCCCCCAACTCGCTTTGGTCTACTTTCTGTCCGTGGGAGCTCCTTCTGGTTCACCGTAGCGCGAGCCTCTGATCCATCCCTCTGATCCTCGCCGCTGTTGGATCGTCTTCTCCCCTCCTGTCGCCACCTCCTCCTCCGGGGCTCATGGCGGGCGAGGCTTCCGTGGCGGTGCCAACGGCTGACACGGTAAGCACCATATAAACCTCGCTAGTTCTCTCCCCAACACCATCCCCAGAAGATGGCTCTGTGGTTCATCCATGGTTGAGCTTTCCTGTTCGGGGCCGCAGGAGAATGGATGACAGGGGCAGCCTCCCTCCAGATGCCTCCTCCTCACTTTCCTCTGATTCATGCTCAAGTTTTCTTCCTTGGACCACTCCCCCTTCCGCTGTAGCAGACACGTTCGAGTTTTGATGATGTCCGGACATGATCACGACGCTAGTTCTTCCTGCTGGGCACCTGTTTTGGTAGAACAAACCAGAATTCGTCGGGTGCCCATCTTCTTTCTCTCCTTCTTCATTAGGGATTCAGGTCCTTGAGACGCCGACTGTAGAAGTTCTGTCACTTGGGTTCAGCTTCTTCTCTCTTAAAACGTTTTCTTGGCGAGTGATCTCACCTCGACTTTGGCAGATTGAAGAGAAGAAGGTGACAGACGATGAGAAGAGTCTGGCGCGAGAGGCCGATGGCCAGCGGGGCGAGAATGGAGGAAATCACGAACTGGAGAGACCCGAAGATGAGAAATCTGCCAAAGCTCCCGGCCTGTTCGAGGCACCAAAAGAAGAAGAAAACTTGGCTAATCACGCTGAGGTACCAGGTGAGGTCTTGAAGGAGCACAAGACTGTGGAAGCAGACCCAGTCGCAGAGCCAGAAGAGGAGAAGCCTACAGCAGCAGCAGCAGCACTGGTCGAAGAGCAAAAAGAAGAGAAGGGTACAGCAGCAGCAGTCGAAGAGCCAAAGGAAGAGAAGGCCACGGCAGCAGCAGCAGCATCAGTCGAAGAGCCAGAGGAAGAGAAGGCCACGGCAGCAGCAGCAGCATCAGTCGAAGAGCCAAAGGAAGAGAAGGCCACGGAAGAAGCAGCAGCAGTCGAAGAACCAAATGAAGATAAGGCTACAACAGTAGCGGCAGCAGCGGTAGCAGTAGCAACAGTCGAAGAGCCAAAGGAAGAGAATACTACGGCAGCGGCAGCGGCAGTAGCAGTGGCGGTAGCAGTTGCAGCAGTAGTCGAAGAGCCAGAAGAAGAGAAGGCCACGGTAGCAGCAGTCGAAGAGCCAGAGGAAGAGAAGGCCACGGCAGCAGCAGCAGCGTCAGTCGAAGAGCCAAAGGAAGAGAAGGCCACGGAAGAAGCCGCAACAGTCGAAGAGCCAAAGGAAGAGAAGGCCACGGAAGAAGCCGCAACAGTCAAAGAGCCAAAGGAAGAGAAGGCCACGGAAGAAGCAGCAACAGTCGAAGAGCCAAAGGAAGAGAAGGCCACGGAAGAAGCAGCAACAGTCGAAGAGCCAAAGGAAGAGAAGGCCACGGAAGAAGCAGCAACAGTCGAAGAACCAAAGGAAGATAAGGCTACAACAGTATCGGCAGCAGCGGTAGCAGTAGCAGTAGCAACAGTCGAAGAGCCAAAGGAAGAGAATACTACGGCGGCGGCAGCGGCAGCGGCAGCGGGAGCGGCAGTAGCAGTGGCGGTAGCAGTTGCAGCAGTAGTCGAAGAGCCAGAAGAAGAGAAGGCCACGGCAGCAGCAGTCGAAGAGCCAGAGGAAGAGAAGGCTACGGCAGCAGCAGCAGCATCAGTCGAGGAGCCAAAGGAAGAGAAGGCTACGGAAGAAGCAGCAACAGTCGAAGAGCCAAAGGAAGAGAAGGCCACGGAAGAAGCAGCAACAGTCGAAGAACCAAAGGAAGATAAGGCTACAGCAGTAGCGGCAGCAGCAGTAGCGGCAGCAGTGGTAGCAGTAGCAGTAGCAACAGTCGAAGAGCCAAAGGAAGAGAATACTGCGGCGGCGGCAGCAGAAGCAGTATCAGTGGGAGTAGCAGTTGGAGCAGTAGTCGAAGAGCCAGAGGAAGAGAAGGCCACGAAAGCAGCAGCAGGAATCGAAGAACCAAAGGAAGAGAAGAGTACAGCAGCAGCCGTCGTTGGAGAACTGCAGGAAGAGAAGGGCGTGGAAACAGGGCCAGTTGAAGAAGCAAAGGAAGAGAAGGCTACAGCACTGGCAGTAGTCGAAAAGCAGAAAGAAGAGAAGGCTGTGGAGATAGAGTCAGTCAAAGAACTAAAGAAGGTTGTGGAAACAGTGGCTGAAGAAGATCGAATCAAGGAACCAAAGGAAGAGAAGGTTGTGGAAACAGTGGCTGCAGAAACAGACCCAGCTGTGGAAGATGAGAAAGAGAAGGTAGTGGAGACTGTTGTAGCTGAAGAACCAGAGGAAGAGGAGGTTGTGGAAACAGCTACAGTTGAAGAATCAAAGGAAGAGAAGGTTGTGGAAACAGTGGCTGCAGAAACAGAGACAGTTGTGGAGCAAAAGGAAGAGAAGGTTGTGGAAACAGCGGCCGCAGAAACAGACCCAGTTGTGGAGCAAAAGGAAAAGAACGCAGTGGAAGCAGCGCCTGTTGAAGAATCAAAGGAAGAGAAGACCACGGAGACAGCGCCAGTGCAAGAACAGACGCTAGAGAGGGCCATAGAAACACTGCCAGTCGAAGAACCGAAGGAAGAGAAGACCGTGGAGACAGAGCTAGTGGAAGAACCGAAAGAAGAAAAGACTGTGGAGACTGAACCAGTTGTTCCGCCAAAGGAAGTGGAGACTGTGGTGGGTGATCCGGTTTTAGAATTGGAAGAGAGAAAGGAGTCAGTCCAAGAACCAGAGGAGGAGAAGACTGTGGAGACAGAGCCACCATCCGAAGAACTAAAAAAAGAGAAGACCGTGGAAACAGAGCCCACGAAAGAACCAAAGGGAGAACAGACTGTGGAGACGGAGCCTGTCAAGGAAGAGAGTGCCGCAGCGACTAACCCAGTCAAGGAGCCAGAGGAGCAGATTTTAGAAAGAGAAGCTGTGGAAGAGCCAGAGGAAGAGAAGGCTGCGGTGATCGAGCCAGTGGAACGAGTACCGGAAGAGAATACCCTGGAACCACAGGCAGTTGAAGAACCAGAGGAAGGGAAGACTATACAGACAGTGCCACTTGAAGATTCGAAAGAGGAGACCACTGTGGAATCAAAGACGGTTGAAGAACTAAAGGAAGAGAAAACTTCAGAGCCAGAGGCAGCGGTGGAGACAAAGGAAGAGAAGACCATAGAAACAGGGGCTGTGGAAACAACAACGGCAGTCACTATGACAGATGAGAGCGTGGGATTAATTAACCCTGTGGAGGAAGTTGCCAGGATCCATACTGAAGAAGAGAAGAATTCTGAAGGCGCTGAAGAGCTTGTCAAAGTGCAGAGGGATGCGGGCTATTCTGATTACACTGTCAAACCTGCTGAAACCCCTGCAGAGAAACAAAAGGATTCTGAATTTGGCGCAAAGCTTGCTGAGGAACCAGTAGATAAACCAGAGTCCGAGAAAACTGATGATTCCTCAAAAGACAACGCCTCTCCAGAAGCTGCGGTGGAGGTCCACAAATCAGAAATCTCTCCCAAGCCGAAGACTCTCATGTCAAAGTTGAAGCGCTCACTTGGGAAGGTGAAGAAAGCTATCACTGGGAAATCTCCAGAAGCCAGAGACGAGCCCAAAGTGAGATAGAACTGTTCCAGCTTGCACCTGCCCAATGGTCTGTTGCCGTGTTGAGCACCATCCTCTGCAAAGCTTGTTGTTTGCATACCTGCATGCATTCACCAGTGTGAAAGGCTGGTTCTTCCTCTGTGTGTGTGTGTGTATTTGTGTGGTCCTGAAGCACTTGTACATAGAAGAAAGGGTCCTCCTAGCCTCTTCCGCAGGAGAAGTGTTTCATTCAGCCAATGATTTCATTGAATGCTGCGGGATGGTGGCCCACATCTTTAAATTTTTATCATTTCATGTGATACAGTCATTACTGGGTTACTCTCTGTGAACATGTAAGTTTGTAAGAAGATTGGGTTAGGTCAGGCATTCTTTTGGTGATGTATGCATGATTTCTGGGCTATAGATTTCAACTCTTTATTGGGTTCGGAATTGCTGGTATGGAGCTGTGGATTCATCATAGATAAAAAGGAGATGCCTCTGAAGGTGTCCTTCCAGTTTCCATATCTTGCATGTAATCTTATAAGACTTTTGGATTTGCCATCCTCACGGATAAGGGATGGCTGCGCTGCTCACGTTCATGTGCGGATGTACTTCTGGTATCATTGCATAGGCCATGCTTCCATCTTATGAATGTTTGTGGCTTTGACATCTTTAATAGAGGGTGATGATCGTGTTGGTTCATTCTAGGGTTATGATTTTCTACTCAACAGTGCTCTCAGAGAGTTGCAACTTTTGGTGGTGGCCGATGAAATTTTATTTATGTTTTTGTTTTGGAAATTGAGTTGCAGGGGATCTGATCTCGGATTGCTCAAGAAATTATGCTTATATATATTCAAAGCATTTTATGTGTTACTTTTTTTTTTTTTTTTTCAGGATCTACGCTACAAGACAAAAGATCTTATTATAACTCTTGCCGATGTTATTATCCTATGCAATGATCGTTTCAATAAATTGTGTTCATTTTTCCAAAAAGAATTTCAATGAATCTCATGACCTCACTATACCCAAATGATCTCTCTCTTGTAATTCTTTTGTTCCTAGATGCTTAGATTATAGCCATATCGGTCACTTTACAGAGATTTTTCTTTTCTTTAGAGGCTCTGAAATCATGAAAAAAGGCGTCGACTTGGGAAAATAAATGCATAAAAAAGTCGAGATAAACACTTGACTAGACTCAGTTTGAAGAACCAAATCCTTTGGCACCTTCCCAATCAATGCCTGTTCAGTTACTAGGGTGGGTTCACAAGTCATGAATATAATTGACCTCACAAGTCCCCCTGGACCCCAAAGACAGGTTTTGCCACATGAACACACCAACTGACTCAGACTGCAACAATAGATTCCACACTTCAGGCATCATACCTCTAGATTTTTTACTTCATCAGCGCCATCTTTCACAGTGATGAGGACGAACTTGGTTTTACATCTCCACGGCATTCCTCTTCTTCCGGGCAACTGTTTCACGAAGAGTTCGACATTTAGATCTTCCTTAACTGAACAATGAAGAGCAGGTGGAGGATCATTGTACCTCGCAAGAACTAAGCGGCCGTGAGGTGGAGGTGTGAAAATGTATCAGCAAGCGAGCTGGCTGCTTCCTGGACCGAGGTGTTCTCATCTGGAGCATAATCTCCGACAATTACTTCACTTTTCGTCATCTGGGGAGCTTCCTCTGTGAGCTCCGATTCCAATCTCTTGAACTCCTCCTCCAGATATTCGTCCTCCACGTCAGTACTCTCGAGCAATGCCAAACCTGCGAGACATGCAGTAGCTTCCTCAAGAAACAAGTGAAGGGCAAAGAGCTCGGAGCAGGGGTGGTCCCAGAAGGAGGGCAAGCAGTCACCTAGGGCTTCATCAACTTGCTTCTGGGAAGCAACGGTTTCACTGAGCTCCTGCAGACACAGATGGACCTGCTCTACGCTGATTTGCTGTTTCTTGATTGCTTGAGCTCCGAGCTGGATGGCTTCGGAGGCCTACTGGGCAAAGTTCCCCGATGGGATGGCCAAATTTAGGAACAGAAGGATCTTAGACAAGGAGGAGGAGGGAGTTCTTGATGCCTCACCTTTTTCGTTGACTCAGCCTGGTTTATGATGCCGAGAACCTCCTCCACCCGGTCAAAAAGCGACGCACACTTCTCTCTGCTGCTTGCTAGCAGCTTCGTGCGTCTGATGTGCCCATAAGCAGCGGGTCTGTTGCCAGATTTGAATGAGGCCAATGCGGACTTTCTTGATCTGGAAGAAAAAAAAGGATGAAAAGATCATTCTTTGTGTTAAGTAAGAGTGAAAAGCCGGGTGGATTTTAAAAGGATAAGGACAAGGGCTTATTTAAAATTGATGCAACTTACTTGAAACAGAGAACCAAATCAGAATCAGAACCTCTCCATGAAATAACTCGCGAATAAACAAGCCCAATATGTAATCATAAGATCATTTATTACGGATCTATTAAACTCACTATGATGTCTTCATCTTCGTGTAGAGTCGTTCATGATGTTCCAGACGCAATTAAAAACATTTAAACGACAAAATTATATAACGTGTGGATCCTTTGGGCCATTCAACTCAGGATAAGTTGGTAAGAAGTGAAATAAAACCAAAGAATACAAGCTATGTTGAGTCGGCTCATTTTACTAAAATAATATTTCTTAAGGTTTCAGGCCTGCCTGAAAAATATTTAAACCACAAAGTAATACATTAACTTTTAATCATTAAAGTTTAATCAGTTTTTTAAAAAACTGACGGGCTCATTCTGTTCAAGTATGAAACAAATTCGTGAAACCAAACGACATTACTGTAGGGTCAGCTCAATCTACTAAAATAATGTTTCTTGAGTTCTCCTCACACACGAGTTGAAAATATTTAGACCACAAAATAGAATATAATAGTCGAATCATTTGGGCTGTCCGACTCAAAATAATCTAGAAAAAAAACTCATAAGGACTCATTTTTTTGCCAAGAGTTTTAATTTGTCTCCTTCAGCGTGGAATAATTCCACCAATCATTACGCGAAGGATAACTTTGTTCTACTCTGCCACAAGGACGGAACAGAATACAACTCGAAATCACTTAGAAGGGAAATTTCGTTTTGAAAAACATTGGCTAAGAAAGAGAACTTACAGCTCCCAACGTTGGTCAATCATATCAACCTGTTGCTGCATCTTCTCCATCGTCCAGATCAGATGTAGGATCTCATAATCAAGGCTTGTGAGGGACGAAACTGATGACGGCACCAGAGAAACTTTCAACCCCTGAAAGTAAAATAAAAGAAAAAAAAAGAGAACAGAACAAAGTTGAGAATTGAGACATAAACATGCACGTAGGTGCTTGTTCAAACCGAGAAGAAGCTGTAGATAGTAACAGGACCTCCACAAAGTCTGTTTTTTTAATTGAAAGGTATTGTGCTTTCCCACATTGAACCAGATAACTCGAGATTATTGAAGCCTCATCAGAGCCACCACAGATGCTTTCGAGCTTGCACATCGTGACAACACAGCTCGATGTCCAGTGGCTTTCAGATAGGCTCTTGATAACGTCAACAGTTTTGTCCTGGATAGTGAACATGACAGGAGGTGATTGATGTTCTTGCCTCCAAAATGGAACTCATCTATCAGTCAAAGGAAGTACAAATTTGAGACCAAGGGCCCTACATGCCTGAAGCAATCCCCTCAGAACAAGACACTCGTCAGTGTTCTCTTCCAGAGCAGATGATTTCGAAAGCACTATCAACTGTCCAATTCTTCTAAGCAACTGGAAAATTTGCCCGCGCGCTGGATCAGTTAGATCCCTCCTCAAGAAGATGTCGCCTTCTTTATGCATCTCAATCTGTCATGAGCAGGAAAAAGATGAAATTCAAGAAACCCAAATGGAAGACATTGATATCTTGCCCCATTGAACATTACCAGCCACCATCTTCTTTTCATATTTTACCCTCGTACTTGAAAATATTTAAAAAATTCCATCTCCTAGCTGTCTGACGTGGAAACAGTCATATCTAAGTACTCCCTCTTCCTAACAATAAAGGTTTAGATATATGTAAAAACAAAACAGAGAGAACAGAAAACAGACCTGCCTGATAGGCAGATAAACACGACATGACAGATAAACTTCATCCCAAGGAGAATCACGTCAAGCTTAATCAGAATGTTAACGGACAGCCAATTAAAAAACGAGAGTAACGCCTATGAGTACAGATATGCTGAGAATGATAGCTTCTGGCAGCAGAATAATGGCTTTTAACAAGCTCTTGGCAGGCAGAGAAACAAGATCAAAACTGGTGCGAGAGCAAGGGCGTGGACCAGATCTGATTCAAATGTCAATGACTCGAAAAAGAAAAAGACAGAATAATAGAGTTGACCATGGTGGGTGATCCAGTTCAGATCCAGAATTGTTGAATTCGAACCAAATTGGGATTCAAGTGTAGTGTCACTTATAGATTGTATCGGCATGGTTGGTTCACTTATAGAAGAAGCCAACTTCTATCTTGCCTCTGTCTTTGTGGTGGAGTGGATTGCTACTTTCAATCAGAAAAGGAAGGAAGATTGACATCCCCATCATCCATTCCATACATTCGGGGGTGTCAAATGCGTCAGACACTCAGAGTTGTGGTTCCCAGGAAAGAAGTGAGCTTTAAGGAGGAGTGACCATACCACCTCCCTAACCCTTCGGCACGACAGAAATGAGCAACGATGAAATGACAAGAAACCTTCCTATGATCTTCTAGGATTATTCTATGCGATAGAACTTCTTGAGATTCCAAGAATGTGGGCTTTCCGTGGCCAATGTCAGCCACCTGCGTCCACCTTCATGCACATGGGATCTCGTCTCATTCTCCCTAGACGAAAGGTGGAAGGCAAGAACACTCTGCATCACAGGCAGTTCATTCATCTTCAAGCCATGAAATCAAAGCCATGGAATTATATTTTCTTAATGCAGATGTAGATGGTTGCCATCAGGTAGAGCTCACCAATACACGATTCATGCACAGAGGTGTCAATCCCCTTCGAGCGAACCACACATTATTTACCTGAAGAAAGCAATCATCAATATAGCTTTTATTTCCGAGGTTGATTCATGAAACGCATACTCATCAACAAGCCATAGAGATTAAAGCAATATGCAGAACTACTGAAATCCCGTCACAAAAAAGATCCCCACCACAACTGCCGCGGGTGGGTACCAGAGATCGACCCTTCAGATAAAAAATTCTTCTCCCGAGGTTTTATTTAGCGCGAATCAACCCCGCCACCCTTCAAAGAAAACCTGGGCCTGCTGGGGAATGGACAGGAGATGATGGAGTAGGAAGACACTGTTTGTGCTCAGAATCTGATCCTTCTGGGAATCCCAAACTACGGAAGGTCAAAGGGTCGCGTGAGGGGGTCACACTCGAAGGTGGACGAAAGGGGAAGAAGAATTGAAGGAAATCAGACGAGGGCAGGACCTCCGAGGAACGAATAGTAAGGACTCCGAGACGTCTGGCGACCCTGATGATCAGGTCACGCCAGAAGAGGTAACGGGGGGTCCAGTCGGCACGCTGTCCGCTGAAGGCCCTGAAACGCGCCGCCCACGCCCCGTCGTCGTCCCAGTCGGGTGCCTCCGCCTTCACCGCCTCCTCCACCGCCGCTGCCGGAGGACCCATCTACAGACTTCCCCCCGCGGCTCAATTCCACCGCCCAGCCACTGGCGCGTATATCTCGTAGATAGAAGAAGAGACGGGACGAAGGAGAGGCCGAGGCACGCTCGAAGCCTTCAGGGCCGAGGAGCGAGGAGAAGCCACCGCCCGATCCAGCGCTCGGCGTCTCCAGGTCTCTGATTTAAAAATCGGGGACTCATCGGGATTTGTTTGGTTTGCGGTAAATGGAGTCAAAATCAATTCCCGCATAACAAACCACATAAGGGGTACCAAATATCATGTTTCGTTATGCACAGTATGATCCCAAACTGCTCCAAGGATATTAAAGCAATAATATAATCCCACCCGAGTACTTGGATCAAACATTCCCCCTCGGGCATCTTCAATTACAATGGTGGTATCTGGTCAACTATAGGTCAACCAGTTGCCGAGTCAACTGATCGGGTCCCACAACACCGCGTCCAACCAATTCGGGGGGCTAAATCCCCAAGTAAATAAACATATTTATATCCATAAAAATAATCAAATCAGATATTTAATATAAATATAATTTCCAATTTATTTATCGATTAGTTTTAATACGAAGCGAAAGGTATGTACTTGAGGCGGGGCTGGGCCGAATTGTGCAAGAAAGCCCGATAATGTATTATAGCCCAAAATTGCCCGAGAAATAATCTGCGGGCTCAAATAGCCGAGGTCAACGGAGAAGGGTATTAAAGTACTTTCGCAATTTGCTCCGAGTTTTAAGGTGTAGGGATTTTCCAGTCATTTCGACATTTTCAACTTCGTCCCCCGGAAACAACCCCTTCCCGCCAACTCGTCCCCCCCCTCCCCACTCCCTCTCTCTCTCTCTCTCTGTCTCTCGCTTGCTCCCTCTCTGTGGAATCCGGCGACTGGAGTAGGAGGTTATGGCGGGGGTCTGAGAGTGGAGGAGCACCGGGGGGAGGCCGTTTGTCGATGTGATCTGAGATTTCGACATCCTCGACGTGGGAGGATTGGCGCGGCTCTAGTCTATGAGGCGCAGAGGAGGCCTCTGATCCGCTGGAAAAAGTCGTTCAACAGCCTTCTCTTTGTGAATAAATCCTTTAATTTCTCTGTCTATATCCAGGCGCGGTATTCTGAAGCAGAGGTGTGGTTGCTCTGTTCTGCTGCCTGTGTCTTCGATTTTCAGTCTTGCTTTCTATTGCGGGATCCCCGTTCCTACAGTGACAGTCACGTTGGTGGGAATTTCGGAAAGCAATTCATTCTTGATGAAAATTTCGTTGCGATTTTAACATTTAAAGAAACGGCAGAGATTGTTTCGTGATTGTGTCAACTTCCTTACTCGGTTGTTATGTTATGGCTCCTAGAATCCGTTTTATATGAAGGAGCGTGCCTGAAGTTGGGGTATAATTATGCCATACTTCATGAAAGGGATGTTCAGGATAATATGAGCTAAAAGTGAACGCACGAAACCAGGTCTCGAGACATTGGGCACCAATGGCTAGTAGAAATAAAAAGAGGATCCCTATTTTCTCTCGGTAAAGTTGTCCATTGTTCGTACATTATTTTTTGTCTACGTAGAAGTTACGTGTTCAGAGACTTCTTCGGCACATCTGATTTATGTAACTATGAAGTTCTTAATTTTTTTCTTCTACGTTTAAATCTTCTATTGGTGTTTTGGCTGTTTCCATATGATATTCATGTTAGTTACCCCCTGATTTCTACTCGCACAGGACAATACCAGCACCATGTGCATTAATACACACAACTTTATTTCCATTGCCCAACATGACCGATTTATGCAGTTTCTGAGGATGTTCCCTCTAATCACATGCATAAAATCATTTTGTAAATCATTTAGAGGAATAAAGAACAGACGTATCACCTTGTGTACAACTTCCTTCCGTTCTCTCTTTGATATGGGCGTAGCCTTGCTGTTATCAATTCGTCTTCTATGTTTTTATTTCTTTCTTGTACAGGTTTTCTAACATTAGCTGATTTATGCTTGACTCTTCCAATCCAATCGTAAAACTCCATTATAACCATATACTTTTTCATCTAGTTCTACCTTTCTTATTTCATTACAGAAAAAATGATTCTCTCATCTTGCGTATAATTGAGGCATTCTGACGATTGAACAGGCTATGATGAGTAGCTGTCAGAGTGTAGGCAGTTTTTGTCACCCCTCACAGCGAGTACCCAAAGTTTCCATAGGCATTATGGTGGAAAACACTCCAAAGATTGGTACCACAGATGGAAAGGAAGAAGTTGTATTCAGTGTCAAGAAAAAGAAAGCAATACCTCTGTATCACAAGAAAGTTTTAGAAAAAGACAGCGAATTGGGAAGTACGAAAGCATTTGCGGAAAAGCAAGTCCTAGGCAAAGGGCAGCTCACTTCATGGGTCTCTACTAGATCCATGCATGATGAAACACCGAATGCTCAAACAAATCAGTTTCATGCCAAGGCTTCTGTACTACGGTTAGATGGTGGGTTGGTAGATAAACCGGAGAATATGACACATGAGAGGGGAGGTGACATGAATGAAAATCTGGAAAAGATTGGAGACATTGCATTTTCTACCATGCAGGAAACACATGCATTGCCTAATGTAACTGCCGAAGCAGCAGCAAAATTTAGAGAGTGCAGAAGCGAAACTTTAAGGATGAAGCTTTGGGAGGCATTGGGAGATGCTTCGCAGAGTAGACATGTGCTGAGCCCAGTTCCAGTCAACGAGATAACGAAAAACTCAAAATGTGAGGACTACGAGGATCGCCAGATGAATGAACTTCCCAAACCTAAGCGGGACACTGATACAATAGAGAGCGATTCGGAAAATCGAAAAAAGACCGTCGAGAAAGCAAGTCCAAAGCAGACGAAGAAGAGAACTTTTACTCGTCCCTCGGGGCAAAAGAAAGAACAAGAGAGAATAAGATCAAAGTGTCAGCTTGGTGAGAACAATGCCAAGAAGTACTTGTCCTCTTCTAGACCGGAGCCCAAAGAAAAATCTGAACAGAAGAACATTTTTGCATTTGACGACTGTGAAAAGCGAATAGAAGGTTCAGATTTTGCTGCCAATGGCTGTTTACCAGCATCTGCTCAGAAGAAAATTAATATAAAAGGTTCGAGAGGAGAACTGCGGAAGATATCATTCCCTAGCAGATCAGACTCTAGGAAGAGCTTGCGCAGCGACAAGAGTTTGCAGACCACTGACAAAAAACAAGTGGCGCCACCTCCAACAAATGAAGAAAACCGAAGTACAGCGCTAGAAAACCGAAAAATTCACCGTGAGGTCAAAGAGAACAGTTCGCGACAGGCAAATTCATTCTCAGTAAAGTTTGTCCATCTTTCAGCAAGTTCTCATGCAGGAAACGTAAGCAATTCATCACTGATGAGTGGGTCCGAAACACGAAAATTTGACACTCCATCGCCAGCGAGGGAACCTAAAGGATCACAGGGCAGGCCTTTTCCGATCGATGGATATCCGCCCGAAAAAGTTGGCAGTCAATCGTTGACGAGAGAAACAAAACCATTGGATCAAGCCGTCAGCCCGACATTTGCGGTAAGTATGACTCCTCCATTTCAAAAAAGAGAATCGATGGAAGGTGGGTACCTCAGTCCTACATTATCGGAGATGAATTCAGCCAGTAGCTCCAAATCTCCGCTGACCACCCCAAAGGCATGTTCTTCCAGATCAGATTCACAGCAGCAAGAGTCCTTGGTAATCTTATGCTTCTATTTTTCACTCGTCGAAGGTTCATTATGGGTATTTTTTTTCAGTGGTATAAATCTTCCGGTGATTGTTTGCTCAGGACGGTGCCAGAGCTCTTCAGCCGTCGCCAAACGGAGAGTCACAGGGTCTGAGAGATGATATATTAGAGGAGTGTTTTTCTCCATCTCAGGTGCGGCGGCTGTCAGGCGAAGGCTTTATGGCAGACGAGTCTGCCCGCAAAGGTTAGGAAACACTTTTCGTCTTCCTCATGCCATGTTGGTTTTAGGTTGACAAAACATGTTTCTTTCGCCACCGCACATAATACGTCATAACCCTTACTCTGTCTGAAAGAAAGGTAGAGGCATATGAAGGTCATGTGTTGAGACTGGCGAACGATCCCTGACTGAAAACATGCGAAGGAGAAGGTCAATTATGTTGTTGAAACTTTGGATTATGCTTCCCTCGGCCGAAAGTTTTCCTTTTTCCTAGTGGCGCTTCCTGCCCGTGAATAACAAGAGATTCTAATGTTTTTTGTGTTCATTTTTAGGTATGCAATTCCTCACATAGACAACAAGCGTAGGGCATTCCACATTTTAGCTCGGATTCTGATCCTTTAGGTTATCTCCGGGCTTTCCGGAAGTTGAAAACAGACACGAAATCCTCCGAAATGAAAGAGAAAGCGAGGGCGTATAATCTTGGTACCAACCCAGAGCTGTATAGGACACTCTTAGTGCTTCCTAATGTTGGTAGTCGACTCGTCTGACACAGCATTCCGCAGTGTTCCCGCATTTATTTTTGAGATTTCACCGTTTTTCACTGATAGCTGAAACAGGTTTAAGAAGTAATATTCTCTTGTACATTGCTTCAGACGCTGTTAGCGTTTCCATTATTCGCATGAATGCCGCATTAAAAATTCGACAAGGTGGACACCAGCTTCATTGTTTCTTTCTTCCTTTTCGATGGTCCTACGCTCCCTCCGTTTTTAACCTCCCCGTTAGGGTGGTAGCTACAGCACGCTTTGGTAGGGTCCTATAGTAAGGCCAATGTAGGCGCCAAATCATAGCTGACCATTTTAAGAACTCGGTAGGACGGGCCCGAAGAAGATCCAAGAAACTGAAATGCTAATTCTCGATGCAGGCGCTGTCTCTTCTGCGGAAGTGGTGTATTTTAATCCATTTCCGCGTGTGTTGTTCCTCGGTTGATTTTCTTATTCATGATGATTCCTTTTACTAGATCGATAAGGGATGATGTGGACCGAACAAGCTTGTATTGCACAATTATCTCACGATGTTTATTAAAACGTGCACGCTTCATGCCTGTTTTGCTCATATTTTATGCGTGCCACTTTGCCCACTTAAATATATAGAAGTTACCGACTACATTCATCTTCTCAGAAGAATCTTTTCGATTTCACTAGCGCAATTGAATGCGACTGGAGAAAGGGAAATCTGCATGCACTTGCTTCCTCGGTGTCGAAGAGGGGCTGAGCCAAATACACCTTCCTTCTTCTTCATTTTTTGTTAATAAACCATGCACACAGGTTTCAGACAAGCCCATGGATGGTGTTCCAGAGCAAGCAGCCCCAGTGAGTCTCCGCTGCCTCTCCATCGCAGCAAGAGGCTCCGCAGCCTCGAGGAGACGGGAGGAGCCCACCAGCCCGAACCATCGTCAACGCTTCCCTTCGACGTCTCCAGTAATTTGACCGAAACTTGTTACTCCACGTTTCTTGACATCTCCATACTCTGTAAGCTTGATCTTTCCCGCTGACCATCCTCAGCCGTTCCGATTCCTCAGGAAGTGGGGAGACCATCAGCTCCTCCCCCGGCTTTCTGAACGTGTCTCCCGATGACAACCTGGGCAGGTCGCTGACCGATCTCTGCTTCTGTTCCCTCCGCCGCCGGGACTATTTTGACCCCACCTTACCTGTCGTCTCCCCAGGGCCATTGGTCAACTGGCACTCGTCCTGGACAGGTTCAAAGGCAAGATAAGATCGTATACATCCAAGAAAGGCTCCGAGATCCTCTCCGCCGCCAGGGAAGGCGTTCGGCTGCGGCTGCGGGAGGTCGAGAACCTGATTCAGGCGGACGCGTAAGCTTTCTCCCTTTGCATCTACATGCAGACACCACGGTCCTCTGCGTTCCATACGAACCCGGGGGAAGTTGACCATCTCCCCCGCTGCCCTCCCTACCTGCAGAGAGAAGCTCGCCAGCCACGGCAAGTCCAAGAGGAAGCGACTTGAGTCAACGTTCCTGGGTCTGTGTTTCTTTCCAGTCACACTTCGAAACATGTGGCGTTCACTTGACTGAAAGCTCTCCTTTTTTTTTTTTTCCCTTTTTTGCTGGTTTTTCTGCATCTTCCACAGAGCAACAGGAGAAGCTGAAAGTGGTGTACGTTCGGTTCAGGGAGGAGGTCGACCGGCACCTGGTCGACTGCCGGGGCAGCCTGGAGGACCTGGAAGCGTACGAGGAGGAGCTCAAAGGGAATATCGACCGCCAGAGTACGCCTCTTTCTCTCTCTCTCTCTCTCTCTCTCTTCCTCTTCTTCCTCCTCTTCTTCACCATCCTCCTCCCTTCGGCCATCATGGCCACCCATCAGAGGGCCACTACCTGTTCGACTGCGTGCTCCATAAACGATGGGGATGGGGATGGGGATGATGGGGACGGAGATGGGGACGGAGATAGGGATGGGGATGGATGTTCACCCCCCTTGCTCCGACCGTCCTGGAGGCAGTAGATTTGGGCACCACGTGTCGACACACGGCGGGGAACCGATGCTCCTCCCTGTCCGAAGATGTCGGGGTGATGGGGATGCGGCCAGTGGGCAGGCCAGGCCTCGGTAGATCCGATCCCCCCCGCGCCGTGAATGCCCCACATAGAGGTGAGGAGCCCCGAGGTGTAGAGAGAGAATGACTGACCATGTCGGAGACAGCCATCCGTCACCGGTAAGAGTGAAATGGCCCGTCTGTACCTTTGAGAGCCGGCTCATGAGATGTCGGTGGTTGTTCTTCGAGCTGCTGATGGGCTCCTCTGCTAATAGGCTCCGCTTTGTTTCTCTCTCTAAACTCTGAGTCTTGGGCAGAGTCTGCGCATAGAAAGCTTGTACTTCAACTGGAGGAGGCCATGGAGGCCCAGCTTGCGGACGCTGAAGCCAGGGTCGCCGCCATCCAAAAGGCTCGTCCTCTCTCTCTCTCTCTCTCTCGCGATTTCCCTGAAGACGACCATGATGTTTGGGGGTGCCTTCTCTTGCTGGCTGCAGGCAGCGAGGAAGAGGATGAACGGTCTGAAGGGCGCTCTGAGGGAGTGGTTGACTGACGACGGCGCGTCAAACTAATGCAACTTCTTCCGAGTGGTATTTTATTCGGGATTGTTCTCATCTCTCTCTCTCTATCTCTATCTCCTTGCAACTTGCACAGGGGACACGAAAAGATGACGCAAGAGGCTAGCCAGGACAATCCCCACAAATAAGGCTAGTAAAGACCCTACTCTTTGTCGTGTGCTGCAGAGCGACAGCCTCGTCATCATCTCTATCTCTCTCTCGCTACCAGATGCCCGGGACATCTATCATGATCAGGCAGACCTCTCTCTTCTGTGCGAGTCTCCGCCTTGCCCTCTCCGTCGGTTGGTTGTACGCAGTGGTTCGTTCACCAGGGCATGGAAGTCAGAGGCCCTGGTCTCCGTCGTCGTCTGCTTCCAGGCGCCGCCGCCGGGGGATCCGAAACTTCAACCACGGACTTCACATTCTCAAACGGGGATCCCCGATCATCCGATCCCAATTGGAAGACCGCTCTTCCCATCCCCATTAAAGAGACTGTGCGGCTCTTTCACGCGGCAGGGGCCTCTCCGCGGCGGGCCCCACTTTAAGTCAACGTCCTTCCTTACTCCATCTAGGTCATACTCTCTCTCCTCTCTCTCTCGCTGATAAAGTAATGGGTGGTGGGGAGGGGGAGGTGATGATAAGACTATCTCGGTGGAAACAGGCGGGGCGGGAGGGAAGTTGGGGGGCTTATCCTCTTTCCTGCCTTAACGCTGGCGGTGCTAGGCGGCGCATCCTGGCCGTTGGTCCAGGATCTTCGATCCCCCAGCAGGTCGATCATTCCTGGGGAATTGGGGTGTCAAAGACATCGGCGGGAAGCGGGATCGGTGATAATTCCCGTAAAATATCTGGCGGCGGCCTGAGTATCTTGAGAGAGAGAGAGAGACTCTACAGAGGGCGGAGGGCCGGAGAGAGGGAGAGGAGACAAAAGAGAAGAGTGGAGAAACCACGGATACGGCTGCCGCCGTTAACCACAGTTTTTCTTCGCCCCGGGGAGAGGGGAGGAGGGGGCTGTCGTCTGATTTAACCCGTCCTCCGGCGTTTGCTGGGTGCGCCGAGCTTCAGAGGCATCTCACCTGGCGCTGTTGCACCGGCGTTTCCTCTGGCGAGGCCACCATCGGCGGGACCTCTCTCCTCCGACCATCCTCCTCTCCTCCCGTGAATGGGTTACCTTATCTGCAGGATTCGGCGTCCGCGCCGGCGGGCCTAAGTGGGCTCTCCACCAATCCCCCTTATTCTCTCCTAATTTAATCCCGAATTTCGGGTGGTGCGGCGAGTCTGCGTGCCGCCAACTGATTGATTCTACCCCCTTCGCCGGAGCCGGCGGCGCTACCGAGGGCCCTCCTCTTCACGCTCTTCTGACAGGCTAGTCGCAGACAGACGGTCCAAGATTGGGGTCTTGGGCTCCCCACTGAGAGATGATGCCTCTCTCTGAGGTGCTCCCGGCTGCGCGGAGGAAGCACGGGCCCTTCCAGCAGAACATGGCGGCGGCGAATTGCTCCTCCGATCTCTCACCCCTCGTGTGAGCCCCTCTCTCTCTCTCTCTCTCTCTCCCTCCTCTTTTATTTACTTGTGATTCATATTCCCGAGCCGTAGATTCATTCATTCGTTCGCCCGCTCTGCGGATCTCTGGGTTCATTGGTTTGCTCATCTGCTGCGATGGCGGCGGCTATGTGGCGTGGTCGCAGGCCGGACCAGGAGTTCGTGGAGCTGCTGTGGGAGAACGGGCAGATCGTCATGCAGGGCCAGTCCAACCGGGCGCCGAAGAGCTTCGCCGGCAAAGCCCAGGAGAGAGACGGCAGCAAGGCCGCCGGCCGACACGGATCTGCGGATTCCGCTGGCAAGGATTTCCACGCCATCGGCTCTCTTGGGCAGCTGGGTTTCGGCGGCGGCCAGCAGGACTCCGACATGGCCGCCTGGGCGAGCTACCCTATCGAGGACTATTGCCTCGAGTTCTTGTCCGAATTCTCCGCCCCCAATCCGAGCTCCTTGTCGGCAACGGTCCCGGCGGACAGATACATCTCCTACGGCGAAGCGGCTCTACCTGGGGAGAACGGCGGCGGAGCGAGAGGAAGCGGCCCGTTCTTTTCGCCGGCGGAGGAATCTCTGCCTCTGTTCCCGAGGATCAGATCGAAGGACTCGGAGTTTTCTCCCCACCAGCTACCAGGTGGAGATCTACAGGTCGGGCGGACGCAGAGACATGAACAGGCGCCTGCCAAGGTAGCGCAGCCAATCTGCGGCCCGGGTCTTGCGAACTTCTCCCACTTCTTGAGACCATCTGCGTCCCTTGCTAAGGCGGGGGCGGCGGATCTCCCGAGCTTTGACGTGAGAGCTGGCGAGAACGCGTCCACTGCCGCGAGCAGCAATCCATTGGAGTCCACGCTGATCGATCCCGCCAGCTGTTCGAGGAGCTTCTCGCAGTTCCATGGGGAGTCGGCGCCGGGTTCCATGGCCTGGGCGGATTTGGATGCGGCGTCGGCCGAGCAGTCGGGCGGCAATGGACAGGAAGATAATTCCAGATTCCAGAACCAGATCGCTTCCGCGAGCAATCCGAGGCTGTTGGCGGAAAGTCCAACCTGCAAGAGTTCGAGCTTCACCGGTGGCGCCGCCGCGGACAAGCGCCCCGAGCCTGTCGTCGCATCGCCTTCCGTGTGCTCCGCCAGCGGCGCCGGCGCCGCGCCGAACGACGCCCAGGGCAAAGGGAAGAGGAAGAACCAAGACGGCGAGGATTCGGAGTGCCACAGCGAGGTGAGTACAGTTGACTTTCTTCAAATCCTGGAGAAGAAGAAGAAGAAGAAGAAGAAGGAAAGCTTCCTTCTTTTCCTGTGACCCAAGTTCTTCATTTCTGCGTCGGGTTATCGACAGGATCTTGAAGATGACTCGGCCGAAGCGAAGAAGCCTTCTCCGGGAGCCAAGCGCAGCCGAGCCGCGGAGGTCCACAACCTGTCCGAGAGGGTAAGTTCTCCGTCCATCGCTGCAGCCTTCTCTGGATTGCTTATATATGAATTCATCTCTCTGAGGATTTCCAACTTCGTGAATGCGCAGAGACGGAGAGACAGGATCAACGAGAAGATGCGGGCGTTGCAGGAACTCATTCCCAACTGCAACAAGGTATGGTAATGGGATCTTACCCCATTTCCTTTCAAATTTCTCGTGTTTACCTTGCGGCGTAGAGAGACAGAGTCAAGGATAGGCGGCTCTCTCCTCCTTCGCCTTCTTCTTTTTCTGAAGTGGGACTGCTGTTCTTCTTTAAGGTAGACAAGGCCTCGGTGCTCGACGAGGCCATCGAGTACTTAAAGACCCTCCAGATGCAGCTGCAGGTACGACTAGAACTCCCCCCTCGCCGACACATCACAGCTGATTTAACCTGCTCCGTTTATGGGATCTTCTTTGACAGCACCTGCTTTTTCTCCTCTCTCTCTCTCTCTCCTCTGAGCAGGTTATGTCCATGGGCGGCGGGTTCTACATGCCTCCGATGATGGTGCCCGCCGGAATCCGAGCGCCACACATTGGCCCCTTCTCGCCCATGGGGGTCGGCATGGGTATGGGCATGGGTATGGGCATGGGGATGGGCATGGGCATGGGCATGGGCTTCGGCATGGGGATGGTCGACGCCAACGGCTCCCCTCTGGTGCCCACCCCCCCGCCGTCGCAGTACCCTTGCGCCGCCGTCCCCACGACGGTGGGCCTGCGCGGAATGCCCGGCGCCGGAAACCTCCAGTTCTTTGGTGCTCCTCCCATGGCGATCCCCCGGCCCCACGCCTTCATCCCCATGCCCGCAGGTCTGCCCGTGAAGGTGAACTCGCCGGCGGAGATCGCGCCGGCGAAGGTGGCGGAGCCGGGTCCTCGGAGAGCGAAGGATCAGCCGCAGCAGCAGGCCCCTGGCAGCGCAACCGTCGACGACGTCCCCATGCAGGTAGGTGTCGACGTCCCTCGACCGGGAATTCTCCGAGAACCCTAATTTCCGCTTGTCCTGGGTCATCTCCGAGTTTCCTCGTGCTATCATCCTCAGTTGTAACCGGCTCTCGCAGGCGAACAGGAGACCCTGTGGCGAGGCCCTCGGCGGCGGAGAGGACGCTTCCTCGTCCGCCATGGCGGGTGAGCTCCTGATCGAGGCGCGGGGACTTTTCCTCCTCTGAATTATCTTCTGGATTCGCTCGAGTGTTGACGGAAGGGCGGCGGGCCTTTCTTTTCTTGTAGGCTTGCGGCGGTCAGGTTGTTGAGATGGCGGGTCCTTCGCGCAGATGGAGAGAAGCTGAGGGGGCGGCAGGCTCCATTGAAGCCCCACCGCTGAGCTTCTGCGGTGGATTTTTGGGAGGCGAAGAAGGGAGCTCCGGGCTGTGCTTCGCTGTACAGGTGGATGAGATCTGCGGCGTGGAATGAAGGGGCGAGGAACTGCACGAATGAAGGGGTGTAGGATTTTGAAGGATGGTAAAAGGCTCCTTTTTGGTGAACAGCGCTCCTTCTAGATCTCCGTAATCAGTTTTTTGTTGTTTCTTCTTCATTGGGTCGAAGGGTGTGCTCCTCTTGACTCTCTCTCTCTCTCTCTCTCTCTCTCTCTCTCTCTCTCTCTGTTTGCGTAACAGGGGTTCCACTGACTGACCTACGAGGGCAAAGAGGAAGAGGTCATGGCTTTGGCGTGTTCGGGACATAGACCATGGTTGCTCTTTCTAACCCATTAGCGAGCGACGTAGCGAGAGAAAGAGAGAGAGAGAGAGAGAGAGAGAGAGAGAGAGAGAGAGAGAGAGATGTTCCTTTTCTCCTTTTCCACTTCATCCTTCGGCCGCCAAATATATTGGAGATTTTCTTCTGCATCGCAAGAGTCACTGAAAATAACAAAAAGGAATCAGTAAGAAAAGGGCGAAACGGAAACTCTCGAAGGCCGATGAAGCTAGAAGAAGGGCAAGAACCTTTCAGTTGAAGTCTCCCTCCTTCCACACGCAGAAAACTTCAGCGACTTCCAATGCAAGAGGCCTGAGCTCACCCTTCTGGAAGTCGGCGTATTTACGTTCTTCAGCGTTTGATTTCGTGCAAGGTCCGGAGCATGGCTACGCCAACCAGCTGGCATGGTGAGCCTCAGCATCTGCAGTTCCCCACCCACGTCTGTGACAGAGCTCCGGGAAGAGAGATGAACTCTGCAAGGACTGGGCGTACAACCTCCCGCTTCTTGGGTCGTCTTCCGTAGTGAGACCCGAGGACGACGGAGTCTGACGCGGTTAAACTGCAAGACGGGGAATTCAAGCGTAATCCCTCTCTCGCCTTCTCTCCCTCCGGTGGCTGACAGGCTCGCCGTCCCTTCCGTAGTATCTCCGAATGCATCTTATATACAATGAGAGGTGGAAGCGGTCGAGAACCAGGAGTTGCCTTCGCTGCTGGTATTCCTTCCCCCATTCGGCAAGCCCCATGCTTTAGATCCACCATGCCCAGTTAAGGAGGTTATGTAAAGCCACCACCATTGAAGGCCATTATCAATTCAAACATTTTTCATAGAGATATTTTCTTAATTAAATTAACGATTTTTAAGAAAAAAATAAAAAATAAAGACCTTAAAAATACGGAAATAAGGTTATTTTCTTTTAAAAGACACAATCTACGTTTGATATTACTTTATTACAACATGCTCAAGTTCACGAATTGTGGAGAATCTCTATATGTATGGAAATAAGGCTTTTTAAGTGTCAAGAATAAAATTAAAAGATGCAACTAATCCATGTCATTACGAAAATATGCTAATGAGATATTGAAGGAAAACATCCCTTGAGATGAGACAATTATGAAAACTTATAAATTTTGGTCTATTCACAGTACATTCAATAGGTTGTAAATGCACCAAGAACATGGAATTCGTTAGCCCACTTAATGTAGGTCACCATGACATAAATTAAATCAAACTCCAATCCAAGATACTAATAACATTTTAGAACATTCAAGGAAAAACTCACTATCCCATTCCATCTAATCACATGAGGCCTGTGACTTACACCATAGATAAAACTTAGAACTGATAATTTAATCCAATTTTCAACACCCTCAAGAAAATATCATCTTCAGGGGTTTTCTCTCTAATTGTACGAGTAGACATAATGTATAAGTGATGGCCAAACCAATCAAAAGGCACTCATCCTGTGACCTATATTCTTTCTATTGTACTAATTTTTCCTCTTCTCTTTTCTCAGCCTTGGCATAAAGTGTGCTCATTACATGATACTCCAATGACTTGGCACAAAGTGTACTCTCTATCTTATTCAATATTTGTTTATTTAGTTGTGACATAGCAAAACTAGAGAAAAGGATGACTTAGGTGAGTTGTGATCAACTTTAGTATTGTAGGGGTCAAAGTCACATTCTAAATCCTCACAAAACATGCTTCATTTATTATCCCTTTGCCTTGAATTCACAAGTTGAAAAGGACAAGTCCCTTGATCCAAAAGGGGATAATTATGAATCCATAGAATCAAGAATTAAGTTCTTTTAGTCCACAAGGGTCCTAGAGTTTATTTGTAGAAGAAGAAAATTTTAAGAAAAGAAACTCATGAAACTTTATTGATAGAAAATTAGGATGTCTCTAGGGCTACATAAGGTGTATTTAAATAAGTTAAAGAGTCTTTTTTTGTCAACATAAATTTCAAATAAATTTAATTTTTAAAATGAGAAATAAAATTTGAATTTAAAATAAATTTCAAATTTGAAATTTAAATTTTCAAATGAAATTTTTATTTCAAATAAAAATTTGAATTTTGGATAAAATTTGAATTTTTGATGAAATTTGAATTTCAAGTAAAAATTTGAATTTCAAGTAAAAATTTGAATTTTTAGATGAAATTTGAATTACAAATTCAAATTTAAATTTCAAATGAAATTTGAATGTGAAATTCAAATTTGAACTTCAACTGAAAATTTGAATTTCATATGAAATTTAAATTTCAAGCAAAAATTTTAATTTTAGATGAAATTTGAATTTAAAATAGAAATTTAAATTTCAGATAAAATTTAAATTTCAAATCAAAATTTGAATTTTGGATGAAATTTGTAAAAATAGTAAAATCAGAGATATGGACCTAATTTTGTAATTGGGTCAGCTTTATGAAGTGGGCTTCAAGCTACAACAATACTAGGCTTTAGGCTGCATTAGTGTAATTGGGGCAATTTCAACTTGAAGTCAGCTTCAAGCTGCACTAGTAGTGAGCTTCAAAGTACATTAGTCTCCCTTGCTTGAAAAAGACTCATCCTAGAGTCTTCTACTTTTTCTAGATAATATTTGTATAGATCTACTACATTGAATGTAGATGATATTATCATTATTACTAGTAAGTCAATGATATATGTATTATCATTAATCTTTTGAAAGACTTTAAATGATCTATCCTTCTGTGGATTGAGTTTGTGATAATTTCTTATTAGCAATCATTATTTTCTTAAATATATTATAATTGAATCACAACATCAAATATCTTCTTTCTTCTTTTTCTATCAACCTTTTTCTTATAATTTAAATTATTAGTTGTAGAATGATCCTTCACATTCTCATATTTTATTTTGTTGTACGCTATCATGTTATTTGTAGGTATATTAATAGTAGGCTTTGTTATTACTTCAATCAAGTCAAGAGGGACTTTTAGTAGAAAATAATAGGTAGTAAAAAATAAAAAATAATTTGTAGACTAATTTACTATAGAATTATGTACAAATTTTGTTTGAGCTAAAACAAGATCTCATTGTCTTGATTTCTTCTTAAAATACAACAAATTAAATGACCAAGTGTCCAATTAACCACTTCTATTTGACCATCAGTTTGTAGATGACTTGTAGTACTGAATTATAAGCATTAGTCATATTTGTTCCATAGAGTATGTCATAAATAAGACAAATTTTGAGTCTATATCAAATGTAATAGTATCATGCACTCCATGCAAATGAATTATTTCTTAAAAAATAAATTTAGTACTTAAACAATATCATTAGTCTTCTTACATATAATAAAATATGTCATTTTTGAAACTCTATCTACAACCACAATACTAATTTTCTCCTCTTCGAGTATGTGGTAATTCTAAAAACAATCTATAAAAATGTTAGTCCATGCTTTATTAAATAGATAATGTAGTGTACAGATGTGTTTTAACACTATCTTTTAATAGCTTGACACATTTGACATCTTTGCACAAAATTCTTAATTTCTTTTTTAAATTCTGGTCAATAATAATGTTTTTCCATCATTTTCATAGTCTTATTGTGGCTTAGGTATCTCCTAAGTCTTTTTACATATAATTCTCAAATTAACTTCTCGTATAAAGAAGTTCAAACAATACATTATTGATTTTCTTAAAATTAGTAATCTTCAAGAATGTGAAATCCTTTGGATGATTTGTCTTATTCATACATACACTAGATTTGAGAAAGTTTTATCTCCTATGTAGAGTTCTGTCAAATATTTAAAATGACTAATTTTATCTTGCATTGTAATCAAGAATGTTGATTTTGAGTTATGGCATTAGTCACTATATTTGATTTTCATGATTTATATTTTATTAAAAAAAGAATTTTTAATAAAATAAATTCATCTATTGCACATTATGTTGATAGTTGTCTAATGATTGATTTCAAAGCTTGATGGTTAGTAACTAAAATAAATGATCATTAAAAATAGGTAGTGTTCTCAAGTATGTAATTCTCTAACCACAACATAAAGTTTTAATTCATATGTAATTTAATTTCTTCTATCTTTTCTTAATTTTTCATTATAAAAAGTAATTAGATGACCTTCTTGGAATAATACAACTCTAATTCTAATAATTGAGGATCACATTTGACTTCAAATAATTTACTAAAATTTGGTAATGTTAATATAGGGGCATAACATAATTTCTTTGATTAGAATGAAACTTCTATCTACTACATTTGTCTACTAAACGTTTCCTCTTTTATGCCTTGAGTAATGAGAGTCACAACTAAACTAAAATTTCAAAAAAATGTTCTATAAAAGGATGTTAGGCCATAAAAACTAAGAACATCATTTCTTCAGATTGATAAATGTAATCAAAACTAAACTTGAAGTAATAAATTTACATTACTTCAAATTAATAAATAGCTCAGTATGTTGTAAAACACTCAATACAAATCTCAAATGATAAATATTTTTTTCCTTTCTACTATTGTATACTAAAATATCATCAAAATAAATAATAACGAATTTTCTAATGAAAGGCTTAAGAACTTGATTTATCATTCACATGAAAGTACTTGGAGTATTAGGTCAGTCAAATGGCATAATCAACCATTCATATAATCTTACTTTTATCTTGAAGTTAATAATGCAAGTATAGAGCATGGGCTCATACTTTCACAAATCAATTTATTCTCTAATAGCTCTTCAACTTGTTTTTATAGAATCTTATTCTCCTCATTACTCATTCTATAATGAAGTAAATTAGGCAAATTGGCTATAAGAATCAAGTTTATGTGATGTTGTATATTCTTGGGCAGAGAAAGATGTATAAGAAAACCTTGTGTGATAGAAACTCATTTAATATAATGCTACCTTAAGTACAACATCAGAATAATTCACAGAAGTATTATCTTTTTTAATGAACATAAATATTCTAAAATTCTCTTTCAAAGTATGTAAGAGTTATTTTTGTTAATCATCATAACTTGCTTTTTCTTTTCTTTCATTATGTTAGAACTTTTTTTATTAGGCATAAAATAAAATTTTGACTATTTTTATAAAAAGTATAATGATTATTTCTACCCAAGTCAGTGGAATTTAAATCATATTACCATGATCTACTCAAAATTAGATGATAGGCATCCATCTCAACAACATCACAATAAATTTAATCGAAATAATTTTTTTCGTTGAAAACTTAGTTAAACATGTCTAACTCTAGTTTCAGAATCTTTGTTTATCTACCTAATTCTGAT